CAAAGACTTTTTCAAATTCTCAAGTCTTCAGGAACACTCGAGATGACTCTGGAGAGACCCTATTGCGAAGAGGTTGATGCCACAGGTACCAAATCAAAAGGATATCTGATCTTGGCAAGACAGGTCACGGCCTTTCCACAGGTGCCAGCCCTCAGGAGCTCTACAGCTTACCATGGAAGGGGGTATGTCTCTGGGGAATCAGGCAGGAGGAAGGAGCCTCACAGTAACCCCTCCCTCAAATCCTGACCCAGCAAGTACTGCCACTTAAAATAACACGATAAAATTTAACTTTCTTTTTGAGGTCATGCAGCTCTGTGGATCCAATGCCATCCCTACTGTTGGATAAACACGAGGTCAAAGATCAGCGACAGGCACAAATAAGGTAGCTAATTGAGGGTGGGGGTGGGGTGTAACCACTTCCCCACAAACAGCTACTACAGAGCAAGACTTGGAAAGTAGAAACTCTGCTTAATGCCAGGAACAAATCAGTATTCATTTAACAAGACTCTGGCAAACTTAATAGTCAAGAGCCCAGTCCTTCCAAACTGGAGGAGTGGCTGTATTTTTTTAACCCCATAGCCTCTTGCACCAGTGGGGGACTAGAGCTGTCACAGCACAGGAGCAGGTAAACAAGCTCTAAAGGAGTCTGCTCAGGCTACACAACACCAGAAAGGCAAGCAATTATGAAAACTACACACATGGACGAGATGCTTTCAAACAGTCCAAAGAATGATTATTTGTACTGTGAAATGTACAACAAAGATTCACTTCGAGTTTTCCATCTGGGGACAGCGACACATGCCCATAATCTCAGCACTCAGGAAGCAGAAGCAGAAGGATCAAGGGTACGGGGCTAGCTTGAATTCCATGAGATCCTGTCTCAAAACACTGAGAACCTGACCTGAGAGATGGTGACCTGAGTTCAAACACAAAGAGAAGTGGAATGAGAGCACTGATTCACAAAACTTTCCCCCAACCTACACACACACACACACACACACACACACACAGAGAGAGAGAGAGAGAGAGAGAGAGAGAGAGAGAGAATTTTTAAGGGCTAGGGGTATAGAATACATACACACACACACACAATAATTTTTAATTTTTTTAAGGGTTAGCAATATAGAATATTTGAAGTAGCAACCATTATGGCCTGGGTTTAACACCATGCACAACCAAAAACAAAAACAATTGTTTAAATCAGGAAAAAATATCACTGAAAAACAAATAGGAATAGAGTCTATGACATAAATAGGTAAGTTGGTAGACAATCTACCTAGCATGTGCAAGGCCTTGGGTTCCAGTCCCACCTGTGAGCATGAGTACACCACTGGAACTAAATTATAGACATGACCACATATACTGACATCAACCTCAGCCAGAGCCATGAAGTATATCAGAGTCACAGGCAATGTACACAGTTGACTGAAGAGAGAATGTTCTGGGACCTGCTGACATTGATGACTGACGATGCTAGACCACATAGTTCTGATGCTTCGTCATGCCTGGACAGCACTTGCTCTAAGCCTCACACACTGCCCTGAATGGAGTTCTGTGGTGGCCAAGCCAAACAGGGAGTTCCACTCAAAGATGCCCCAGTGGCTACTCTCAGGGCTGGACTTCAAAATATATACATCAGAGAAGCAATGACTGAGAATTATCCTCTCTCTCTCTCTCTCTCTCTCTCTCTCTCTCTCTCTCTCGTTATTGTTTGTTTGTTCTTCTTTTGTTTTGTTTCTCCAGACAGGGTTTCTCTGTGTAGCCCTGGCTGTCCTGGAACTCACTGTGTAGACCAGGCTGGCCTCAAACTCACAGAGATCTGCCTGCCTCTACCTCCCCAGTGCTGGGATTAAAGGCCTGTGCCGCCACCACCCAGCCTGGAGAGGCTTTTCTGCCCAGGAATAGAACCCAGGCAACAGAGGTGAAAGTGTAAATCCTAATAACCACTAGACCATGAGGGAGTGCAGTATTTTTTCTTTAAAAAAAAAAAAAAGTTCTACCCCCACATTCACACATACACTAAAACCTCACTTGCTTTTATATTTTACGTTTTACAAGATGATTTTGCATCTAAGTAGAGCAAAAACCCAGAGCCTTCCGTTTAAGTCCATAACAACAGTCTCCTGAAATGACAAACCAATCGTTTTCAGTATTTCGGTCCAGGTTTCATCCTTTTGCTTCCTAAACTATGCTGAGAAAACATGACCGGGCAGCACAGAACTCTGCTAAAGCTAGCTTCCAGGGGTCGTAGCTTGGCAACTGCTTTGGGATTCTAGATCCCAGAGGACATTTCCTTTATTAGCAACTGGCTTTGAGAATTCCATTTTAGGATGCTAAATATATCAAAATACCTCCTGACCTTTATAAACACATTCTCCAGATTATTTTGATAGTGGTGATTGTCTATTAACAAGACAGATTTGCAAACACAGTTTAGCAACTGCAACATTTAGAGGAATCTTTCAAGATTGCTCCTTAAAAAACTGACCTGAAAACTGTTCTTTGAATTCTTGCAATATGAAGTAACAGAGTTCAAATTCCACAATTCATTTCCTTAAAAAGGCACAGAAACATAAATAAAAACAAATCTTTTAAGCCAGGCAGTGGTGGTGCATGCCTCTAATCCCAACACTCCAGAGGCAGAGGTAGGTGGATTTCTGTGAGTTCAAGATCAGTCTGGTCTACAAAGCAAGTTTCAGGACATCCTGTTACACAGGGTTTGAGAAACCCTGTCTCAAAAAAAAAAAAAATTCACTATATATAGTCATCAAAAGAAAATAATGTATCTTAAAATGTTTCCTAATGTACTTTTTATTAGAAATATTTTTTATTTTTAAAATCCCATTTTATTCTATTAAAATAATTTTTATATATTTTACTTTATTAAAATCCCATATATGATTTAGATATAATAAACAATCATTACCCTGCATGAGCTAATTGCCTACAACAATCTTTTGAACAGAATGCATAACTGCTATATTTTAGGGATCATACACCTAGCAGACCTCACAACCACAAGCCTCCTGCACGACACACGTGCTTTAAAAGCACTTGTAATTACTAAGGCTGGACAGCTCCTCAGACCTTCTCTATGTAAAATAAGGATGTGAATGGAAGAATCAACCGACACTTAATGCTTGGGGAATGGAGACAAAAAACTGGGCAGTGAGTATAAAAACTGTTTCACCCGCTAACATCACCAACGTTTTATGTAGTCATTATAGTTAACGGGGGTTTGGGGAGGGGCAGTGTTTGTAGCTGTAGTCCACCAGATTAGGCTCCCCACCCCCCAAAAAAAACAAACAAAGTTTCTCTATATAGCCCTGGCTGTTCTGAAACTTACTCCATAGACCAGGCTGGCCTCACTCAGAGGACTCAAGAGATCCACCTGCCTCTGCCTTTGCTGGGACCGAATGGTGCAGCATAACACTCCGCCCTTTTTTCTCCCACTTCTCCCACCTCCTGGGTCCAGAACCCCCACTGACTAGACAGGGGCTCACAGTGTAGCCTTCAAACTCACCAGCAAGGACCCAGGGCCAATCTACCATACTCAAGTGGGAGGATTAGAGATTTGTAAGTTCTGTCTTTGCAAGATACTTGGAAATTTGGACCTCAGCCCTAAACTTTCTCCAAAGGGATAGAATAGAGCTCTCCTCTGATGACCACTGTCTACAGTAGTAACAAAGTTATCAACGCCCTTTATCTTTCATCTGAAACATTCTTCCTGGTAAAATTACTGTTGGCGTACTGTCACTAAAGCTTATGCCTATTTCCTTCCTGATGTCCTCTCTAACCAATTTAAACAGTCAAAAGGTACAAGCTGGCTGGCTGGTTCATGCCTAGCACAGGTAGGAAAGATGGATGACGTTCAAGACAGCAAGCAGGGCTTCATGGGGAGATTCTGTCTAAAACCAAACAAAAGTGCAGAGGACAAAAGTGGACGTTGTAGGTTTGATGGAAAAAAAAAAACCGGAAAGGGGAGGTGATACTAAGCCGGGCATGATGGCCCACACCTTTCATCCCAGCACTCGGAAGGCAGGATTTCTAGGTTCGAGCCTAGTCTGACCTACTGAGCGAGTTCCAGGCCAGCCAGGGCTACAACACAGAGAAAGCCTATCTAGAATAAGCAAAAAGATATTAAACTGTGTCAACTATTAATCAGAGAAAAAACGGCAGATGCTGCAATATAGAAGACAGGCTAGAAACCGTCAGAAGAACCCTTATTTTCGTATCAGCTTGTGGGCCTAAGAAAGCATCTCTGCAGGTCACCAGCTGGCAATCCCTGAGTTCACCAGTCTCCATCATTCTGGTCCAGGAGCCCTCAGTCTGTTCTACACATCACCGATCCTGACCACTGCAAAAGCTGAGAAGCGCAAAGGCTGCCACACAATGTCCACAGTAACATAACCACTCTCCACCTTTCCCAACTTCACACAAACCTTGCACTTTCAAGCTCCCCACATTGGTTGTGTCCCTGCCAAAATGGCCTCCTCCTTACCTTCCTCCCTTACCCCATCAATGCCCACACTTGGCGCGGTAAACAAACCCACCATTGGGAGCACACACCTGCTCATTAACCGGACGGCACACCGCATGAATCAAGACGCCTCTTCGATAGACCCCAACAGATTTAATGTTTTAATCATGTTCAAAAAAGGGTTTTAATCTCCCAGGGAACAAATGTTATGGCTGAGTCTCCCCCACTCCCCAGTTAACGACAGCATTTTTAAAGCGAGCGGTGACTCTACCTCGCACTTACCGGGCCCCAAGCAAGGTCTATGGGGTGTCCAGTGTCTCCACACCGGGAAGGCCTAGGGAAAGCGTGGGCCCCCCTACCCCAGAGCTCACGCGCTACTCCCCGCGCCCGCGGACGGCTACCCCACGAGCGAAGGACGCCCGCCGACCCTCTGCGCAGCCCAGGTCCGGTGCCGAGGGCCGCTACAAAGGTAATAGGACGAGGCTGCCGGCGCGCCCCCCGCACTCAACGACGCCTCTACCTTGTCCTCCGGCGGTGCGTCCTCGCGGACAGTCCTCTGCCGTAGCTCGGTCATGCTGGGGACCAAGACACAACGTCACCCAGGACGAGCAGCGCGATGGCCGCGGAGGTAGACTCAGCGCGCACGGCCTCTCCGCGGGCCCGAGCACCTCGCAGCCCCGCAATGCCTCGCACAGTTCCTGCAGCCGCGCCGCTAGCCCCAAGCCCGGCCCCGCCCAACACCGCCGCCGCCGCCGCCCTTGCCCGGAGAGCGGAGCCGCTGCCTCCCCAGAGGCCGCTCGCTCCTCCTCCCGGGAAGCTGTGAGCCAGAGCGCACGCGCACCGCCGCCATCTCGACCCGGGAGCCTAGACGCTAGGGGGCGGGGCAGCGGGAAGGAAGGGGGTGGGTGCGAGGCGAAAATGAAGCTCATTGGACAAGACAGGGAGGGGGCGGGATAAGCGAGCAAAACGGAGTGGTGGGCAATTGCGTCCTACCGCGTGTGCCCGCGCAGGATGTAGCCGGTTACTGGGAGACTACAGCGCCTCCCGGCGGTCTAGACTGGCCATCACTTGCTGCTCTCAGCCTGGAGTCCAGATGGAGAGACCAGGTGGACCTCTGAACAGAGGGCTTCATAGCAGAGGTGAAACCCAGACTTCAGCTCACGTTGCCTTGCCAAGCCGTGGTTAGTAAATTAGTGAGCACTGATTCTGTCTAGGCACCGAGCTCAGAAATCGCTTTGGCTGGTTTGTCTCGTTCAAATCATATGCCTTTTTTCTTTCCAGCACAAGTGAAGAGACAAGTGGATCTGATCTATGTAGCCTGCGCCAGGGCTACACAATGAGACCCTGCCAAAAAGAAAAAAAAAGACAAGACAAGCCCCGCCTACTGCCTTCCCTGTCCACCACAGAGGCAGACCGATCTTTCTTCAGCTTCCAGTCTGAGCCTCTCCTTCTCTCTCCCAAAGAGGTAGCTGCTGCTGTGGCTCCTCTCCTTCCCCCC